GGCCCAAGAGGGAGACGCGGCCTCACCTTCATACGGGTATTTCTCCGACTTGTGCTTCTTGTGCTTCTTGCCCATGGGGTCCCGGCTGGGTAGTGCCGCTTTCCGCGGCGCCGGCGACCCCGCTCCCCCCCTCGCTCTCCGTCTCCCCCGCTTTGTTTGGTCCACGGTGAACAGGTGGGCCCAAGAGGAGGGGGGGAAATGGCAGAGCGAGGAAGAAGGAGGAAGAGAGGGCTTCGCGGAAAGCTAGGGAGGCGAGCGCGACGCCGGCCCCTGGTGGCTCCCGGGCGAAACTGCAGCAGCGGCCGCGGTGTTTCCCAGTCCGGAGAGCGAGGAGGAGAGAGCGGCGTCTGCGTCCAGTGGCAATGTTCCCTCTAAGCTGTGGAGTCCTGTGAGCAAAAATTCTACTTTGTGAGCCCCTGGCATTAAAGCTGTGAGCAAACAGTTTGGCTGCTGCACACATTAGTTTGCTCTGGAGCCGTCCTTCCTGAGCTAAGACAGAAATGTGTGAGCCGGAGGCTAAAAAACGGTGAGGTAGCTCACACTAACTCAGCTTAGAGGGAACACTGTCCAGTGGTGTGCGTATTCACGGAAGCCTCTGCCCAGGCCGGCAAAGTTTGATTCTGGGCAGTGTTCCCTCTAAGCTGAGTTAGTGTGAGCTAGCTCACGGTTTTTTAGCCTCCGGCTCTCACACACTTTTGTCTTAGCTCGGGAAAGAGGGCTCCAGAGCAAACTCATTTATGCAGTAGCCCAATGGCTCGCTCACAACTTTAACGCTAGTAGCTCACAAAGCGCAATTTTGGCTCACAAGCCGTGTTCCCTCTAAGCTGAGTTAGTGTGAGCTAGCTCACAGATTTTTTTAGCCTCTGGCTCACACATTTTTGTCTCATCTCGGGAAGGAGGGCTCCAGAGCAAACTAATTCATGCAGTAGCCAAATCGCTCGCTCACAACTTTTAATGCCAGTAGCTCCCAACGTAGAAGTTTTGCTCACAAGACTCCACGGCTTAGAGGGAACATTGCCAAGACTCCACCGCTTAGAGGGAGCATTGATTCTGGGTGTACTTAAATTAAGACCGACACAGTTGAATTCTGGGTACAAGCTTTCTTGTGCATGCACACGTCTTCAGAGGCACTGAAACAGAAGTGTGCATGGACACGAACGTTTATACCCCGAATTAAGGTTGCCAGGTCCCCCCCCCCCCCCATCAGTGAGGGTTGGGAGGGTTAGGGTTGCCATATCCAGGTTGGGAAACTCCTGGAGGTTTGGAGATGGGGCCTGGGGAGGACAGGGACCTCAGTAAGGTACAGTGCCATAAGAGCAGTGCCGGATTTATGCATAAGCTAAATATAAGCTACAGTTTAGGGCCTCGCAATCTGCTGGGGCCTCAAATAAAAACACAATATAAAAATGATTTCAAATATTAAAAAGGCGTATATAGTTTAAATTTTTCTGAGACCAGCTGATGTAATTTAAAACATTAGGGGGCCTCTGGGTTTTGTATAGCTTAGGGCCTCAGCAAGTCTAAATCCGGCCCTGCATAAGAGTCCTCCAAAGCATCCATTTGCTCCAGGACAACTGATTTCTTTAGTCTGGAGAGGAGCTGTAATTCCAGGGGTTCCCCGGGCAAGTGATTCTCTGTATTCTTGGTGCTTGGGGGGGTCAACAGTGGGAGGGCTTCTAATGTCCTGGCCCCACTGGTGGACCTCCTGGTGGCACCTGGTATTTTTGGCCACTGTGTGATACAGAGTGTTGGGCTGGATGGGCCTTTGGCCTGATCCAACATTTGCTGCTGCTGTTGCTGCTGTTGCTGCTTCTTGCAAAGACCAACATGGCTACTCTTTTGGTGTTTCCATCGGAGTGGATACGCTGGGCCAAAACAGAGGAGACGAAGACCACAGAGCTCCATCAGGGTGGAGGGCACTCTTTTTTTCCCTGTGAGAGTGTTAACAGCAGCACACCGAGATCAGTTGCCAATTAGCAAAATCCAGCTGGGATTGAAGGGTTAGATCTCCTCTCCCTTCCCTGTGCAGCCGCAGTCCAGATCAAGCCTGCACACACGGTCTGGGGCAAGGGATGCTCTGCTTCTTGGTGCTTGGTGGGTGGGCAACAGTGGGAGGGCTTCTAATGTCCTGGCCCCACTGGTGGACCTCCTGATGGCACCTGGTATTTTTGGCCACTGTGTGTCACAGAGTGTAGGACTGGATGGGCCTTTGGCCTGATCCAACATTGGCTTCTCTTATGTTCTTAGACCGACATGGCTACCCGCCTGAATCTATTGCCATGGAGAGAAGGTAAGATAGCCTTAATCGTTTGCAACTCTCTGTGTGTATTTGTATGGATATGTAATACGGGGGGGTTCTCCATTACCTGCTCCCTCAGTCTTCAGCTTCACCTCCTTCCCTTGCCTCAAACAGTCCTTCCGTGGGGGAAAAACGGCCAAGTTGTGCATCAAGTCCTGGGGTTAGTGAGGCACGTGAGCAACCTGGACAAGTTGGGTGGTGGCCATGGCTCTGTTGGGGCCAAGGTGTACAAGCAGGGTGGACAGCTCTGGGTTGGGAAATACCTGGAGATTTCTGGGGGGTGGAGCCTGGAGAAGGCGGGGTTTGGGGAAAGGAGGGGCCTCAGCTTAGTACAGTGCTACAGAGGCCACCCTCGAACGCAGCCATTCTCTCCAGGGGGACTGATGTCTGTAGTCTGGAGATCGGGTGTAAAAGCAGGAGATCTCCAGGCCCCACATGGAGGTTGGCAACCCTATGTGCAAGTCACCCTGGGCAAGGTGCATGGTGGATGCTGATGGGCCAGCCAAGCAGCTCAAGTTGTATGGTGGCAGGCAGGGGTCATTTCTTGCGGGAGCGCACAGGAGCGGAGCTCTGGCAGTAAGGAGCCCAGGGGGCAGGCACATGCAACAAGCCCCACCCCCTGCTCCCAGTCGGGCCACGAGGAGCAAGAAGCAGCCAGGTAAGTTGCAGAGGGCCCCCCCGTCCGCCTTCAGGTACAAGCTCTCCCTCCTCTCTGAGGACAGATCTGTGTGTTCCCCCCCTCCCAAAGCTAGCTATCCAAAACAGTCCAGTGGCACCTTTAAGACAAAGTTTTATTCAGGTACAAGCTCTCCCTCCTCTGCGAGGGCAGATCTGCACATCCCCCCCCCCCTCAATAGCTAGCAATCCAAAACACTCCAGTGGAGCCTGAGCGGTGGGTGTTGCCTTCTGACACGCTTCCGGTGATGTCAGGGGGTGTGGAATATGCAAATGAGCTATGCTAATGAGCTCTTACACCTCTTTTTCTGCGAAATGACCCCTGGTGGCAGGTCACCTGGGGGGGGGGGTGGGTTTGCTGCCAGTCTCCAGGTGGGGTCTGGAGATCTCCCAGAATTAAACCTCATCTCCCGACTACAGAACTCTGTTCCCCTGGGAAAAAAAATGGCTGCTTTGGAGAGTGGACTCTATGGCATTCTACCCTGCTCAGATTCCTTCCCTCCCCAAACTCCACCCTCCCCAGGCTCCACCCCCAAACCACCAGGAATTTCCTGACCCAGAGCTGGCAACCCTGCCTGTGTAGCAGTGCAGTGGCTTCACTGCCGGGCCCAGACGAAACGCACAAGTCGTGTGGCGGCAAGTCCTCTGGGTGAGTTGCGGGGTGGACGGCGGGCCAGTGCTGAGCTTGGCCAAGTTCTGGGATAACGGGTTCCCTGGGTGAACGTTGTGCTGGCTGCCCCCGAGCCTGCCAGAGTCATGCCAGTTGGGAGGCATCGAGCCCCCCTGGCTGAATCACACAGTGGCCACCGCTGGGGCCAGCAGAGTTGCACTGGTTGTATGGTGGTGAGTCCCAATGTTCCCTCTAAGCTGTGGAGTCTTGTGAGCAAAAAGTCTACTTTGTGAGCTACTGGCATTAAAGTTGTGAGTGATCTATTTGGCTACTGCATAAATTAGTTTGCTCTGGAGCCCTCCTTCCTGGGCTAAGACAAAAATGTGTGAGCCAGAGGCTAAGGAACTGTGAGCTAGCTCACACTGACTCAGCTTAGAGGGAACACTGGTGGTGACACACGTGGAGGCTGCCGCTGAGCTTGACCAAGTTGCGTGATAGTGTGTCGTCCTCCCAAGTGTGAATGAGACGCTTTAGGTGAAATATCCCCCCCCCCCCATAAAGCAATGAAGGGCTGAGAGCTTCCAAGCATGTGCAGAGATACAGCGAGAGGGTCTTCATGAGAATATGCTGTGGCCCAGGCACCACAACACTTGATTGCAGCAATAGCAGCACTGGGTGATCTGCCCTGGAGTAATCATGCTTATTTGGGATCAACTCTCACTGAATTCATTGGGATACATACTCACATAGGCGTGTTGGGAATTGGTGCCTTTTTGGAACAAAATCAAGTGTGTACCAGCTGGTCAGCAGCAGGCAGGAACCCACAAAAGCAGGGGATCACCCAGCCCCACCTGGTGAACGGTATCCCTATCTGCAAATCATGCTTAACTAGGCCAATTGAATCTCATAGGTAGAAGAAGAGAGAGAGAGAGGAAAGATTGGATTTATACCCTGCCCTTCACTACCTGAAGGAGTCTCAGAGTTTGGTGCAGTGGTTAAGTGTGGTGTAGTGGTTAAGTGCATGGACTCTAATCTGGGAGAACCGGGTTTGATTCCCCACTCCTCCACTTGCAGCTGCTGGATGACCTTGGGCAAGCCATAGTTCTGTCAGAGGGTGTTCTTGAAAAGAGCAGTTCTTGGAAGAGCTCTCTCAGCCCCACCTACCTCACAGGGTGTCTGTTGTGGGGAGGGGAAGGGGAAGGAATTTGTAAGCCGCACTGAGACTCCGAGTGAAGGGTGGGGTATAAATCCAATCTCCTCCCCCCCTTCTTCTTCTTAGCGGCTTACAGTCCCCTCCCCGCAACAGACACCCTGTGAGGTAGGTGGGGCTGAGAGAGCTCTTTCCAGAACTGCCCTTGAGAGAACAGCTCTGAGAAAACTTTTGACTGACCCAAGGTGTGGGGGATCAAACCCGGTTCTCCCCAGTTAGAGTCCGCGCTCCTAACCACTACACCAAACTGGCTCTCCTGATCCAGCTTCTAAGTAAGGATCAGTCTTGCAGATGTCATCGCCTGATTCCAGAGCTCCGTTGGCACTTGTATGGACTGTCCCATTAATGCCAATGGAGGGGGAAAGGTTTGCATGCAGGAAAGGCGCGCATAGATGGGCAGCACTTCTGGCTCAGTTGAAATGAATGGGCTGGGCGACCAAA